AAACTTTTGTTGACATAATAACGTGGATGTGTAAAATTTCATATTAACTGTTGCTGATTAAAATTTTAGCAGTATATATTGTTTGAACAGAAATTCACATTTATATGCACAAGTTATTATAAAAATTTAATCGTGTAGATGGAGAACACCCCCCCCCCCCCCTTCTCCGGTGGGGTTTCCAATTCCCCAATGGGATGGGAATGTGGATGGAATCTTATTCCTCGATGGGAACTGGGACAGGGATGAATATTAGGATCCACGATGTCCCCAACCTCATTACCATATCTACTTCTAGAGGTAATTCGGTCTAAAAAGATGTATTAGTTAGGCACAGCTATAATCATTCTGATCGAACTAGATAAATAATTAGTTGACAACTTTATTGACATCTACGCGGCCTGTATTCATTGATGAATATATAGAGTTTGAAATTTCATCATTAAGATCATTGTTGGATCAGTAATAACATCTATATCGTCAAAGTTTTTAGTAGCATCAATCTAGTACGCAATTCATTCATATATATAGCCAAGTAGCCCACTTTGAGGTTAATAAAAGACATCCCAACTTTTAATCTGGTGTCATATATACCAAGTTCAAGATAAAATTACTGCTATATCTTTTGATATAATTTTAAAATTAAAAATTTTGATCTGAAAAATTATACAAAAAATGCAAATGCATTTTTTGAGTTCTAGAAACTTAATTATAAATAAATTTTGAATTTAAGGGGGTGTTTGAGATTGCTTATAAAAGCTGTTTTTTAACTTATTTCAGTCTGACACCGGTGATAAGTTGTTTTCTGGTGTTTGGATAAGAAAAAAAAAACTGCTTATACCGGTGCCAAACCGGTAATAAGCTGTTTTTGATAAGTTAATCCTTCCTGACTTATGAAAAACTGTTTATTACCAGGTTACAATCTTAACCCTGTTTTATTTAACTTCGGTTTGATACCACATAAGATAATAAGCACTTTTACAAAAAAAAAACATAAGTTGTTTTAAATAAGCAATCCCA